TCCTGCTAGCTTTTGGTTGAATGTGGGGTCTGGGTGTAGATCTCATTCAGCCTATTGTTTCCACATCCTCTGCAGTCTGAGTAATGGCCTTCTGAAAACAGGCCGTCTTTTGTTCTGGCCTCCTCGGCTCCAGAGTGGGATGCCATGGCACTGCTTCCCCTTTCTGGTTGATAGGAGGAGAGGGAGGAGGTGCAGGAGGGAGTGAAACCTGTCGCCACTATCTGTTATCAGCAGGAGGCAAGTCACTCTGAAGCATGTGTGTGTGTGTGTGTGTGTGTGTGTGTGTGTGTGTGTGTGTGTGTGTGTGTGTGTGTGTGTGTGTGTGTGTGTGTGTGTGTGTGTGTGTGTGTGTGTTAATCCAGCGTGAGCAAAGAGAGGCTCAACTCCAGCTCTTCTCACCAGGGCGTAATCAGCATTACTGCCACTCAGAAGGCTGAGGAGGGAAAAGGGCCAAAGTCTAGCCATCAGCCAAACATCACCACCACTGGCTTAGAGGCACACAAAGACACACACACACACACACACACACAAAAATACAAACACACACACACGCTCAGCCAGCCAGCCACCACCCTCATCTGCACTAAACACTACTTCTCATCATCTCATCACAAACAAAAGAGACGAATCGTTCCCAGGGCCACAAGTTGACACATGCCATTTAAGAAGAGCCCCCTCCACAATGGAGCACAGCGATACAAAACACAATGTGCGTCTGTGTCTCCGGCACCAGTGGAGAAACAAGGGAGGGCAGCGGAGCAGGAGAAGGACATACAAAGAGAGAAACTAGAGGTTTTTATGCATGTATTTATGATCCCGCAGTCAGCGCTTGGAGCTACGCAGTGTCTCGTCTTTAACTGAGCCAAATGCTGGCACTGTGTGATTAATGCGGCTGCCTTTAGTGAGAGACAGTGCATGTAATCAAGCCCCAGCCTGTAATCGCCTTCCATTGCTTTTCATTTGCAGCTTTTCAAAAAAGGGACAGAGCTGCTGCCAGAGCTGCATGCTTCAGTATTTGGAAGGAGGAGGGAGGATATGAAGGGTGCTGTGCCATAAGCATCCCCCTGAGGTTTCCCCCTTCAATGCCAGGAACGATACGTCTCTGGCAGGTGCCTCAGGGCCAAACTGTCAGCTTCAACAAATTGTGGGTCAACGTGTCTGACAAAAGCCCCTCCTATCCTCCTCCCCAGCTAGGTGGGTTCCTCTATAGGCAGCTATGTTTTAACACATGGAAGGCCATATCAAGACATACGTGTGATAGGGGGGGACAAGTGCCCTTTTATGCCTCATTAGCTCACGGTGTGGACTTTCACATGAGGGAATTAGACGGGACACGAGCCAAGATGTGCTCCATATCTCCAAGCTGCTTAATCGGACGGAGCGCACATTTTTCTAGAGCTGCTGCTGGATCTCACAGGGCCGCTTGTCTTCGACTTTCACACACACACGTTTGCTAAATAAATATGTAATTTGACCGGTGCACAAGATTCATATTCTCTGGATTTCTATGAGAGTAGCAAGCTTTAACCACCAGTTTAAAACATCCTAATCCCTCAACAATTTCCATTTTTGTTATCAAACTCTGCTTAACAGGATATGAGAGAAAACAACACACATTTATAACAAGCAACTTACAACAGCATACTGAAGAGATTGCCTAAATGAATTAAAAGCATGCTTACATTCTTAATTGTCCTACATTTAATAATTGTTTAAGTATTATGTCAAAAGATCCTTTATGAGTATCTAAAGACAGATTTAACAGAGCTTTGTATTGTAGTCATGTATGTTTCTATACCAATAACTTTGATTATTCAGCTTCTACATGTTGTAACATTAGTGTTTCCCATGTGTAAAAAATTATACTAAATCACATTAAAGCCTAGATTTCAAACATGTCATGGGTAAGATGACTAAATGTTTATGCTGGAACAAATGCCCTGCTCTCTGTTATAGTCTCCACTCCATTAGTTCCACAGCAGGGAAGTTTCTATCATGTTGGGCACAAACAAACCCTGAGGGCAGGCCATAACACATCTGGGCTGACTGTACTCGATTCAATATGGTTGATCCAAAGAGGTTGACAACACACAGCCTGCATTCCCCTGCTCTTTGTTATTTAAATCAGAGGAGAAAACACACAATCACAGGGGGACTCTGGGGATCTCAGCAAAAGGCAGCGTAAACACAGACATAAAAACCTACACTCAAATACACGGATATACTCGTGGAAAAGAAAGCGCCAGAAATGCTCTCTCTCTCTCTCTCTCTCTTTCAGACACACACAGATACTCAGAGGGTCCTCAAGGGATCCACCCTGGTCCGGTCAGGCTAAAGACACAATGGGCAGAGGGGGCAGGACAGGAAAAAGAAAGGTGGGTGGGACATGAATAAATCATGCCTTTAGGCCACACAGGGCACAGCATAAACACACACACAAAAAACAACCAGCCACACCCACCTGATTGCAGAAAATGCATTTAACGTATACAAATGCATATGTCACGCACACCACTCAGCGTCTAAGTTGTGCTCTTTCCCTTTCATTTCACACACAGAGAAAAAGTGGGACTCCAGCCTGGGAATGGGAAAGGAAAATGAGCGGGGCAGAAAGTTAATGTCGTCTCCACAGCTATTACTGCGGCGCTACACATACACAAAAACACATTCATGAAGGTCTGAGTCAGGCAGACAGGGAAAGCTAATGCTAACTGAAGTCATGCTGTAATCAGGCGCATCATGGCTCCTGTAATTACCTCTAAACATTCATTTGGCTAATAACTTTAGCTCTCAGTGATACAGACAGGGAGCAGTGTGAAAATCTGTGCAATCCCTCAGCCATTAGGATGACAGCCTAGGTGTGAATTGGCTACGACATGATAGATTATCCCGATACTCATCCAAATATGCTTAAAATGACACTAAAACATACGTTAATAAAATGTGTGTTTACATATATTATAATATATAACGATAACTCACATTTTGTTGAGGAAAAGTTATTTTTGGTAACATGGTATTCATGTATTGTCTGTATTGTCTGTTTATAGACAGCACACTATATGTTATAGGTCAAGTGTTTGGTTTCAAGCCAGGCTCTATTGTTTCACTTCTGAGCTAGACAGCTTTTTCAAGCTACTCTTGTGAGGATAATCACAATTATCTCAATGATGGAAATCAACTTGTTGGGGTTGTCTTTATCCATATAGTCCTCTCCAGTATCCATCCATGTTTTGATAACGTATTTAATAAAGTAATGTGCTACATTTGATCTCAAAAGACTGCATTCTTGTTCAAAACTACCATACAATGTAATCTGTTTAATGTCCAATCTATTATCCAATCCAGGTGGCATTTCACTTTTGTAGGGAGCCAATAAACTATCAAGTAGACTTTATTAATGTGTGATTTAAAAACACTTTCTTTTACAGGTACATTAGTTTCCCTGATAAAATGGGACTGAATCCACTCACAAAGCTTATAAAGTGCTATGGTTCACTTCAAACTCAGCCCCTCAGCTTAGTGTGTGAGCTGTGAAGCTGTGGATTGGATTTCCAGCTTTTCTTCTAATTTAATGCAACACATATTCCTGTTTAGGCTTTGCACTTTGGATCAACAGAGCCAGATAAACAAAGCAGCAGCTGACCATCTGACCTCCGACCTCCAACACTTGACCTGGAGTAGAGCACTGCTTCTCTGTAAGACAGTCGTGACAGTTTCTGCAGGAGCCAGTTTGGAGACCTAACAGAAACGACCTACATACATTGCATATTGTATACACACTACCATATGTATATAATCGGAGTACAATCTGAACAATTGGATCTGCATTTGCCTTTATCACAGTGTCTGCAATATCCAATACTTGTTCTGCAATCTGAGTATTTGCATGTAAACTATTAATTAATAATGGTGTTTTTGAGAATCAATACAGTATCAGAAAACACAATATAACTATACTCAAGTCTATCAATTTGTTCTCACAACCCTAGAAAGATGAACGATTTCTGTGCAACACAAAACTTTGAAATGTATCAGCTCCTTTACCACACCTTGACCTACAGGTTTAATCCACTTAACCACACAACCCCCATGCAAAGCTCACCAGCTCTCAGTTGCATGACAGGAAGGGGGTTGCAACTCTTTTCAACTAGCCCATGCAATTAAAATTGACTGAGAGAGTCAAGTATTCCCCAAGGACACAGCTGCTTCTGACTATAGTCAAAACACCCATAGTTCAGGCTACACACTGTAGATTAGTTTCAAGGACAGAAGTGATTTATGAGTGTTCAACATCATTTACAGAGAAAACACACTCCCACATGTAAAGTGTATTTTACTAAATGAGAAAAAGGTACATAAAGGTAATCCCTGTCATGGTGTTATGGTAAACGTCTCCACTGACTGCAGAGATTAGACTCTCTCAGTGTGCACACTTCTCCCTCCCTCCAATCATTTTCCCAGCGACGCTCACTGACCTAACAAAGCCTCTCACAGTCAGCAGGCTGACCCAGTAACCTGCATGCCTCCTATCTGCTGGAGACGAGCGGCTATAAACTCCCACTGCTGCAGTATGCTGGGACGTGTGAGTCAACAGCACTCTTGTGACGAACAAAGCTTCTTTGAGTTTGTAAAACTTTTAGGAATTATGAGTTTAAAAATAAGATTTACTACATTGCACATACAAGAGCCCAACAAGGGACAAGAGTTTATAATTAGAAGCAGCTATAAACTCTCAGTTTCAGGCTCTGAATTGGAACTGTGTTAAGTCGCACAGCCCTGTAATAACAAATAATTTCAAATTTGATGTCACTGTGACATGTTGCCTTCCTAACAAAACCATGCTTGAACAACTGGGCCTTTGTGTATGCAGATGAATATCAATTGTAATAAAAAGTACAATTTTATCTGCATGTCTTTATGGCTAGATTGGATTTTACAACATGACACTTACTCAGCACAATGAGCTAAACTTGTACAAAAAACAGTCACAAACTTACCCCTTGGTTTCCTTTGAAGCAAATTGATGGTTCACTTGGTAAAGATCCCTGTTGTGAGAGAAAACAGATGCATTTATGGGGACATTGTTGCACACATTCAGCTCAGTGATCTAAATGAGGCCAGTAAACACAATTATGCTGTTATTTGTTTACATAAAAAGTTAAAGTTACACATTCAACGATGCCTGTGTGCTGTTAACGGTCTCCACTGGAGCTAATTATGAGCCTAGCATTCGCTACTTATCAATCAATAAGTTGGCAGACTGCAGGCTTTACTTTGAAGCACAGGAAGGTTTCCCAGCAAACAGCTGACGGGCTCCTCGTTCCCGACAACGTTACTCACCGGTGTAGCCAATTAGTTCAGAGGTAAACTAGTTTGAGTGACACTCATTATCTTAATTACTAAAAAGATATAAAAGTAATTTAACTATATGCGCAAGTGAACACATTTTAAAAAGGCAAAAAAACTGAGGCTACAACTTTATCCAGAGTGCATCTCCAAACACACATAGACACACATACACAGACAGACACAATGAAAAGCTACCTTGAGGGTTTGGAAAGCCTCCAGCGCCCTGAGAGCCGTGTCCGTGAGCTTGACATGGTAAAGCGTCCTGTTTGGGCTGTTTTTGTTATTTTTTCCACAGGAGAGCCCGTAGTGGTGCTCCTGCCTGAGCGAAGCCATCGCTGGCTTTTCTCTCCGCAATTAAAGCTGCTTTCCTCTCGGCTCAACTCTCCCCTGACGTCACGCTGGGGGCGGGGCCTCTACATAAAATGTATTCCTGCTCAGAGTACGTATTCAGATACTTGAGTTAAAGTACCATTACATGATTTTCAACATACGTCATTGCAAGTAAACGTCCTGAATTCAAAATAAAAAAAGTAATCATTGTGCAGAAAAAGAATGGCTTTATGTGTGTATATAATTATATTCATACATGTAGATGTGAAATGTCTAGATAATATTGTTGCATAAGGTAACATTTTACTTTTGTAGTAAAAATTCTGATTTACTTTTTGTTAGAATATTTGAATAATTTGACTCCTTTGTGACTTAAAGAGTTAGTCCAATTGTTACATTTTTAGGGATGCATTTTGTTATAAGTAGCTAATGCTTTTTAGTAAATGTAGTGTAGTAAAATGACATTATTTCCCTTTTAAATGTAGTGGAGTAAAAGTGCATTATAGCATTAAATGGAAATACTCAAGTTAAGTAAAAGTACCTACTTGAGTAAATTCTAGTTCATTTCCACCTCTGTTCCTATAGTACAAAGCCTCATCTAGAGAATTCATTCATTCAAAGAAGAAAAACATTACCTCCGGACAATATATATTTCTTGTTCTTTATGTAAATCCTGCAAAACCATTTGAACAAGTTGCACATTTCTGTTCCACACAACCTCTTTTTAAATCTGCACAGTTCTCCACTTTGAATATAATATTTTTCATATTTTATTCTACTGTACTCAGTCTCTTACATATTGATATAGTGTGTAAATGTATTGTCATTTTACAATAGTCTTTAAAATAGTCAAATGTTTTTGCTCCTCTGCTTCAAAACAATATGTATTCTTCTTTCTGTGTCTTTGTATGCACCATTTACACCAAACCAAATTCCTCATATGTGTAATACTTACATCAAACCGATTCTGAGTCTTTGTTTCTACAATAAATCCTCTGTAGGAGTATTGTGTATAGTATTTATATTTGACTTTTTGCATGCCAAACAGACTTTTCCTAGTAAGTAAGAACCTGTCTGACATGGACAATTTCCTGTTGTGAGCTACATGACGTCTTTAGATGTAGTGGAGGTTTAACCTGCTAAATAAGTCTGTTTTCACGCATTTAAACAGAGGCCTGCCGTTTATTCTAATCTTCTTGTGCAAAACCAAAAAAAATAATCTGATTATGATGCATGTCAACAGGAAAAATGTATCACCACATTGTGCAGGCTCTGTTCTTCTAGGTCAGGAAAGACGTAACAATCCGATCAACATTTCTTAATAAATAGGAGTTTATGTTCAATATGCCAACCATAACAAATGTAGCAGCTTGTTGGTTTAATGACATGCCAACAAACAGATTAGGATTTGTTAATGAAACAAAATTAGGCTAATTTTGTTTTGCCAGCCTCAAAATATGACCTGTTTCTATGTTATCTAAGTCAAAGCACAACAGAGGTAACACTGTCAGTGTAAATGTTTCTTTCTAGCAGCACTATGGGAGTTAAAAGTTAAAAATGAAATGATAAAAATGTAGGTTGGACCGCTTAATGGGCTGACCATTCAAAAAGCATTTTAATACAATGTGAATCCACAATGCGTGAATGTTTTTAATATGTTCAAGTTATGGTAGCAACAGTATAGCTAACTGTATCTGCTGTACCCAGGAATCCAGCCCATAAGTTATAGTAGTAATATCATTTAACCAGACACTACAGAGTGGACTCAAAACAAATGAAAGTTGTGATGCCATATGACCAAACGTAAAATTGTAAGCTTGTATTTGGCAACATATTTTCTCTAAATAGGGAAGACAGATGTCAGCAAACTTTTATTGGATGTCTGGGATGTTTCTTGTTAAGGGTGTCGAGTTATCATTTTGAGCTCTCGGGCAGTGCTTTACAACAGTTTGCGTCAGTCCCTCAGTAAAGGGCATCTGCGGCCATAGGCCACCCTGCTTGTAAACCTCATAAAATGTTCGCTTCCAGCGTAAGGAAAGACACTTTTAAAATCCAGTATTACTGGGGTTAGAAGTCTCATTGAGTTACGACAGTGATCACTAAATGTGAAAGGTCAAAGTTCAGGCAAGTATTGCACAAATTATTGATGGTAAATGTCCTAGCATCCGGGTTTCACATGACATTTATAGTCAAAAAGCAACGAATAGAACAATTGAATATATTATGGGGCTGCTATGTTCAAAGCTCAATTATTTTACATATTTAAATATACCTAAGCAATTGTTTAGCCATCTATTGTTTTAAGTTGATCAAATTCTTAAGTGTCTGCTGAAGTACGCAAGGAGCTAAAATAATAATATTCTACGAGGCTAAAGATTCTTATCCTGATGAGTTAATGGACTTAGCTGTCATCTTTTTTGACAGTCTCTCCAGCTTTCAATCCTCTTGTTGATTTAGGCTCCACAGGAGAGCTGTGATCTGTTAAGAAGATCCACCTGCCGATTTATGTGTCCCAGCAAACATGACCAAGCTGAATGACGGCAATTCTAAGCAACTTAAGTGTTTGCATAACTGTGAGCAAGCACACAAGTGTAATGGAGGTTAGCAAAGCAGATGACTCTGACTTGTAAGCCTATTTAGGTAAATTACTAAGCTACTCCCTGAAGGAAAGTATAGAACAGGAGGGGGATGGGTTACTTGCGGTCAAAAGGGAACAGGTGGTGCTGAATCTACAGGTTATGCTTTTCTATGAATCTGAGATAAAAAAAACAACAACCTATGTATCTTCTGACCACTATGTCATTTTAACAACCATTATATAGGAGAAATCAGCTCCAGAAGTGACTGCATGCTGTGATATTGTATTGTGCGGCACTCCATCCCCCCTCAGATGCATAAAGGTTTGTAGTCGGTCCTTCAACAGCCAAGCAGTGCAAGATTAACCCTTGGCAACCCCTCCCTCCTCTTTACCTGGCTCGTCTGTATTATCCACTCATTGTCTGTGGCTTGCCATCTGCTGCATGGGAAACCGCTAATGCACACCGATCCCCTGGGAGTGACGTTTCACACCTGAGGTCAGTGACTCCCAGGACACCTGCAGCTGGTAGGAGGAAGCCTGTTCACATTGTGCTATTGTCCCTAATGCTCGCCTTCTTCGGTGCAAAGAAACATGTGCTTAAAACGGTATAATGGGTTCATAACATCAGGTTGAAATACATAGGTTACATCACAGCATCAAGAGGAACACATAATGGTCTATGAAACATAATACGCACATGGGCCATGCAGGGTCGGATGGGGAGAGGGCTGTTATGTGCATGTACACCGTCTGTGTCTTTTTGATACTACCATTACATCAATTACCAGTAACAGAACTGCTTAAAAAACTAGTTTACTTTTAGCATTGCTATCCTTCAACATTTTCTAACACATAATGAACAATTGAAACGAAAAGGATCAAAATCAATCCTATTGTCATTTGTTTTTTCATAGCCTTTTCTTCTTTGCCAAAATCTGGCACCCTCATTGCAACGTGAACACAGACAGCTTGGCTATGTATTTGGATGTGGTATACTAGTAGTGGCTAAAGTACTGTAGCCTTAAGGATGTATCCCTAAATAGATATGAGGAACCACAGAGGACTGGTAAGTTTTTCACACACACATATTTTTCGTTTTCTAACTTTTACTTTCTAACTAAGCTAACCTACATTGAGTGAAGTGACATTACTTGAGAACAAATAAAAGACTTTGTGATACAAAAGGTATCATTCAATTTGTTTCTCACATGCACAATTACTGCTTAAAATCTGTAAACTGACTTTGATGTGTAAAATCAGTGCAGTTACATTTTAGACATCTAACATCACCACATTTCTATGTACATGTTAGTTTCCTAAAGTTAAAACATCACAAATTCCAGCATTAAATTCTTCCATATCAACTTCCTTCTTCCGTTCATGTGTCATTGAGATGGAGTAACCTTTTCTACGCACGCAGTACGCATCACTGCGCATTTAACTGTGAAAACCCAGTTAAATGTTCACGAAGATGGAACAAATGACTCAAAGGCTGAAGCTCAGAGCATTGTTATTTCAGCTGGCATGCGATGCTGTATCCGGCGGAGCGAGAAAGTGCTTATGAATTTGGGAGAGGTATCGGGTTAGACACACTAACGCCTTTTGTTTGAGACTAACACTTTGCCTGGTGTCAAACTCGAACAGGCAAAATATTAAGATTTCCTTTTCTAGCAGCCGCTTCATTAGAATGTTTACTGACTCCAGCATTCACAGATAATCTAGTAAATACTCATTTATTTTAATGAGCTCATAAAAGCTGATGTATAGAGGCAGTAATAAGTTTAAAATATAAAGGCTGATGTTTAGACAGTGATGACTTTAGCTTGTTCTCCCTGGTTAAAAAAGTATTCACTGTGATACAACTAGAGGCTGAGCTTGAATAAACATCACCTAATTGAAGTTTCCAGCAGATTATGTGATGTTTGCAAATGATCATTATTTCAGAATTATAGATTTATCATTACGGACTGTCATACTTCAATATGACAGATAAATGTCTCATGTTGGCTCACATCTCATTAATAAATATTACTGCAAAATGAGCCACTCAAATGTTGGCTCACCAAATACTATGACACATTTTATCAAATGTTTTAACAGACATGACTCATCGCTAGAAGGACTAGAGAATAGAGAAAGCTTTTAACTGTATTTACATTTAGTTATGTTATTTAGGCTTGGTGCCAGTTTTCTTCAATGTATGTGCACTAAAATGTAGATTAACAAATGTATTTTCAACACTCTATATTAGAAAAACACTATCTTGTCCAATGCTGTATAAGGTACACTGTAATTGTATTTTAAGAAGTTTTAATTCAAATATTAACCAAATAAAAACGATCTTTCTCTCTTGCTAAAATTCCCATTTGTCAGCGGCATTTGATATTGAAATGAAATGGTGAGGTTAGTATGACCATAATCTTTGCACAAACTAAATACTGTGGCTTTTCAATGTTATCAA